CTAGATTTTTTATCCATTTTGAGTTGACTTTTGTGCAGGGTGAGAGACAGGGATCTAGTTTCATTCTTCTACATATAGATATCCAGTTTTCCCCACATCATTTGTTAAAAGGCTGTCTTTTCTCCAATGTATTTTGGCACCTTTGTCAAGAATCAGGTAACCACAGATGTGTGAGTTTGTCTCTGTGTCTTGTATTCTATTCTATTGGTCTATGTGTCCGTTTTTACACCAGTACCATGTTGTTTTTGTTACTATAGCTCTGTAGTATCATTTGAAACTGGGTATTGTGATGCCTCTAGCATTGGTCTTTTTGCTCAGGATTGCTTTGGCTATTCTGTGTCTTTGTTCCTCTACATGAATTTTAGGATTACTTTTTCTAGTTCTGTGAAGAATGTCATTGATATTTTGATGGGGATTGAATTGAATCTGCAGATCACTTTTGATAATATAGCTTTTTATTTTTCCTCAGTACTGGGGATTGAGCCCAAGCGAGCTTTATCACTGAGCTACATTCCTAGCCCTTTTTATTTTGAGATAAGATCCCACTAAGCTGCTGAAAGTCTTGCTAAATTGCTGAGATTGTCCTTGAATATGTCATCCATATACCTTAGTCTCCAGAGGCACTGGGATTATAGGCATGTGCCACTGCTCCCAGCAATCATTTTAACAATATTAATTCAGCCTATTCATAAACATGCAGGGGTAGGGAGGAGGGGTCTTATCATCTTCCAGTGTCATCTTCTTTTTCCATTGTTCTGTAATTTCCCTTGTAGAGGTGTTTCCTTGGTTAGATTTATTCCTAAGTGGTAGTGTGGCAACTGCTGCTGAAGCCACTGTGAATGGAGTTATTTTCCTGATTTCTTTCTCAAATCCCTTCAGTAGGGAAAATTCCTTATGTAGACTTGATGCCTCCCACTTTCATACATCTAAACCCTTTATTGAACGTCTTTCTTTTCATGTCTATTTCCTCTCACTGGAATAAGATCTGGATCTTATTCAGCATGTACTAAGCACGTAATGTGGTCATGGTATACAGTAGGTTCTCAGTAATGGTGACTATTATTATCCAGGGTAATTAGCACCCTAATACCAGTATATTCTAAATGCTCAAGAAGTGTTGAGCTGAAATATCAGTATGTTCTTGCCACTTGTCCAGGGCCAGACAACTGCTAAAGTACCAGTCCATTCTGGGTTGTTAGGGAGTTCAAGATCTACTTCCCCTACCAAAGACCTGGCATTGTACTTTTTTATCCTTGCCTATTGGCCTCTGTGTTAATTTTCAAAATGGGTGGCTTCAACAATATAAGTTTATTTTCTCATAGTTCTGAGGCTAGAAGTACAAGATTAAGGTGTCCCCAGCACTGATTTCTTCTGAAGCCACTCTCCTTTGCTTATAAATAAATGCCTAACTTCATTTTCAAATAGCATTCTTCCTCTAAGTGTGTCTGTGTCCAAATTTCCACTTCTCATAGATGCACGAGTCAGAATGGGTTAGAGTCCACCCTAATGACCTCATTCTAACATAATTGCCTCTTTAAAGGCCCTAACTCCAAATTCGGTCTCATTCAGAAGGACTGCTGATTAGCATTTCAACATACGAATTTTGTAGGATACAATTCAGTCCATAACTACCTATTGGACTGTGAGCTCCTCAAAAAGCAGGAACTTGGGTTTCCTTCTTAGGCTCCATTGCACCTATCAGAACACCTGGAACACAGGAGATTCTCAGCAAATCATGTGTGGGATACAAAAGTGAAGGACTTCCCAGAAGTACGGTCCAAATCTGTAGCCTCAAAATCCCATGGCCAGCACCAAGAAAAATTAGGTTTTACTCTTTCCCAGAAACAGTGTTTGTTGCTGTCATCATCTCTAGCTAGTTCACTGCCAAACACCTATTTATGTGGCACTCTATTCATAGCATAAAAATGAAATCCTTAAGGACAGATATCCAAAGCCGTTGACAATATCCTCTTCTCTCCAGATCTATTCTAATATTTGCAGACAGCTTGGCTAGAGTCAGATTCGAGGTTAAAAGAAAACCAACACTGCTCTGCCTTCAAAACAAGGAGTAACGGTGTAGGATAAAGGATAAGCTGGGCATCTGCTGCTTTTTTCCTACCCAAAAGGAAACTTCCCCCTCTCTGTTCTGTGTGATTTTGGTAGAGCTATCAATCACATAGTCTGCCTTCCCCAGTTTCAGGATGGGCAAATGACATAATCAGTTCCCCCACATTCTAGGAATTTGAATCCTATGTAGAGTGACACGAAAAATCATTGGAGGGAAGTCCATCAATCCTATGCCATTAAAGCTTCCTGGTATACACATCCCTGAAAGTTACTGACTTTCCCAAGGCTTGGTCAACTATTTTTGTTTGAGACCTACCTGGTAGATTTCCAACAAATGCTTTTCCCTTAAATTACATAGTGAATCTTAACATATATAGGGCCTCTAGAAGTGGAATGTGGAAGTAGTGGTCCTAAAATATGGAAATGGAATCAGGTAGTAAGGATTCCCCTATTTGCTATAAAGATGTTGTGCTCACAATCATTATGCCATGGCAGAACAAAGTATTTGAGGATATAGTTCACTCACATGCCTCTCCTGCCTAAACCTGTAGGGAAGTTGGTAGGAAAATATCAAAATACTGGAGTATGTGGCCACTTCTGACTGTTCTTGGTAAGATCCTAGAAATGGGCCAGGTGCGGTGGTGCATACCTGTAATCCCGGCAGCTTGAGAGGCTGAGGCAAGAGGATCAAAATTTCAAAGCCAGCCTCAGCAATTTAGTAAAACCCTAAGCAATTTTGCAAGCTCCTGTTGCAAAGTTAGGGATGTGGTTCACTGGTTAAGCCCCTCTGGGTTCAATCCCTGGTACCAAAAAAAGAAAAAAAAAAAACCCTTCCTGACTTAGACTGACCCTGTTTCCTAGTAGAAATTCTAGATAATAGAGAGGCAGATAATTAATAAAAGGTTATGAAATTTGAATTTTTGGCCCTGAGTCAATGATAATGCTAGAAAATACAAGGAGAAAGGAAGGAAACATAGCAAAAGATAAGATTGCAACCAAGAGAATTGGGGGAAGCCTGATCCCCCAAGTACCTTCTGATATAATCTCCCTCCCTGGCAAAGAACTAAGCATTGGGATGAAGCCAGAGGATGAGAAACAGACCAGCTTTGCCTTTATCCCAGAAGCAAAAAGAAAAGTAACAAAATTAAGGGCTAGAGGATGGGCAAAGCAGTAAAGCTTTCTTCTAAAGCTAGGGCTAGAGTCAAGGGTCAAGCCACAGAGGAAAAATGTAGACTAGTAGGCTTGAAAACAAAAAGCTATCACTGCTCCAAAATCAATCTCCAGGTATCCTAGCCCACAGCACCAACAGAATTTGAGATACTGAAATACATACCCCTATCCAAAAAATCCTAGCCAGGGTGCATCTCAGATATATCTGTGAAATTCACTAGACAATAAGGAGCAGGTTCAATAGTAGCTAGATACTTAAGTAAGTACATTAACTACGTCACATGTCTCTGATATCAAAGAGAGAACTATAATTATAGGACAATAATGGCTAAATACAATAACATCTGTAACACTCAGACAAATAGCAACTTTCTACAAAGATAAAAGAACCAAAAGATATATGCATAAACAGGAAATAACTGAAAATAACTAACTCTGGAAAACACAATATATGTTAGAAAAAAATATAGGAAGAGTTCATATTTCTTCAGTTGTACTAAGAGAATAGCTTTAATTTACAAAAAAACCTAAATCAAATAAGAATATTTATCTCAAATCTCCTTTGCCCTATTAGTCCATATGCCACGCCATCGGGGGAGCTGGACTACCAAACGAAGACCTTCCAAAAGAAGCTGCTGGAGAGCAGCCTGGGGGCCACTGGCCTTCTTCTGTAGGAGGGAGAGCAGATGCTGCAGGTACCAGGCAGAATCACAGCAGCTTCCTAGAGTGCTCCCTCCAGGTGCAGCACAGGCAGAAGGCACTCTTTTCTTATACCTGCTATGGAACTCCATCTCCCACAAGCAATGTAACCTTTACTATATCTCCATGAAGTGGCACAGAATTGTGGGAGCAGAGAAAACTTCCTGATTCCATAGATGTAGCTTACTTGCTAAAACAAGGAAAATGTGATTCCCCAGACCCACTACATTCTCCCACCACTTTCACTAACTGCCTTGAGAAAATGGCATTAGAAACAACTAGAAGGCATATTTGTGTTCTGTGAGCAAAGGAAAGAACATGGGGTGGGTGGGGTCACGGATGAGTAAGGGCAGGCTTGGAATGATTCTGCCAAAGATATTTTAACACTGGTGAACACAAGGCCTTCATCTGGCTTATTAAAATAGTGCTGGGTAGTGAGAGGGAAGCTGGCACATTCTCATGTAGATGAGATGGCCCTGGGGGTTTGAACGACAGTTGTAATACAGCTGCCGTGGCTAAAACTAGGCAAGTACAGATGTCACATCAACCAGGGAGTAATTTCATACTGTTCCAAGCTGCCAAATTCAAAATGCCAATGGAGGAAAAGTAGAGGTGAAGGAGGTCTTTAAAATAGACTAGATAACTATTTTAAATACCAATTCTGTGTATAACTAAAACTTTTTGCTGCTGAGGTCCATGAACAACAGTTATTATGGTTTAAAGTGCTCAATCAAAAATCTTACTGCTCAGCAAAATGAAAACAATACAATGTGCTATTCTCAGAGATTGGAACAGCCACATCAAATTTAGTCACTAGACATTAGTCTTTGTCATTCCAAATGTTTGTTTAGAAAATGTCCTTCTACAAGGCTTTATTTTTCCTCCTTCAGTAGTTGTTGTCCCTGTAAGCACAGCACTCTGTCATTCTCTATGTCCCAAGTTGATGTGTTAGATAAGATGAAATACTAAAAGCACATGGCATCACATAACAGTACTCGTTTCCTTGAAAAGTTAGATGAAAGGAAGAGATGATTCGTGTACGCGCACACCCACACAAAACTTACCAAATGCCTTCTTGGGTTCTATTAACTTCAAGGTAAAGAGTTCCTCTTTTTTTAATTCCTTTAACTTCTTAGCAACTTCATAGTGACGCCACCCAACGATATTTTCTCCATTTATGGATTCAATATGATCCCCCACACAGATTGTTTTAACTGAGTCAATAATGCTACCATCTTTAATTCTCTGAAAGAAAGAAAATTGATGATGTTATAAAAAATAACTCTGTGGCATTACTTTTCATGCTCCTGACATATTATATCCATTGTATAGACATACTAACAATGCAGCTAAGGCTCAGTTAAAGAAGGAAGACCAAACAATAAAAAACCATACCATCTAACTGCCAATCATTCTTCATCTTCCTTATCATTCAGAATTCAATTACCTCACAGTTACCTCGTCCTCTGGGAAGCTTTCCCTAACTTCCTCCCACAGGAATGAGTAAGGTGCCACTGTCATCTTCTACAATACTTTTGCTATATACACTGAGCTTTAAGCTAAGCACTTTACACTTGCTATTTAATTTAATTCTAACAACATTTTTGGTAGATCAGGAAGACGGAGGCTTGAGGAAAACCAAGTGATGTCCTAGATTCAACAAATCACAGTGCAGTTGCTCCTTTTCTTCTCACTTACCATAGCTAAATTGTGATATCCTTGGGGACAGAGAGTCTTACACATCATTGTAGTCCTTTACATGGCACAATGCCTGCACAGAAAATCCTTCTGTAAATGATTGTTGAATCATTTCAACATGAGACCCACTACAGAAATATAAAGCTTAAGATTTTTCTATTGGCTACATTTTTTAAACCTTATTTACAAATGCAAAGATTCAAATGGTATGATCTTGACTAAGAAGACTGACACGTAATAAGAGATAAGTGTGGTTATCATTTGGGAGTCAGTAAGAGTGATTTTATACTATTGTTCTTCCTTGGTCTATTTTAGATGAGAACTCAAGACTAAAGTAGAAACGTGAAACTCATCTTTCTTCAATCTTCTCTATAATGCATCGGTTATATAGAGTCTCAGTATTAGATCTAAGGTCCTGTAATGGTTAATTTGAATTGTCAACTTGATTGGATTAAGAGATGCCAATGAGTAAGAGGTTTTCGGGTGTATCAATGAGGATGTATCTTAGCATGTGGGATAATCAACTGAAGTGGAGACCCTCCCTACGCATGAGTGGCACCATCCAATAGGACCATGAATTGGATGGAATGTAAGTTGGAAGAGCAAGGAAGCAGCAGCAGATGCAAGCTTGATTCTTCTTGAATAGGTTTTTGATTGCTGCTGCAATCAACTGACTCTGCCAGTGATTCTCCAGAAGCCTTCAGTCTAGTATAGCACCACTGATCCCACTTATACTTCCTGTTGATTCTGTTCCTCTATAGAATCCTGACTCATACAGGCTCCTAAGATGGCACCAAGAATTTCTGGAAGGATTTTAGGGACAAGAGCTCTAGAAAACTATGCAAGGGTAACACTCCTGCATGAATGTACAAGTACTTCCACAGTGACAACAAGTGGGTCAAAATAAAGGCCATCAGCTGCCTCAGGAGTCACAAATCCTTCACAGGAATGACAGGACAAACGTCAGGTGCTGCTGCTACTTCAAAAAAGCTGGTGTATTCCCCATCCTTGCCACATGGACGTGTAACATCTTCTGATTGATCATTGTGTCCAATGAGAGAAACTGATCTCATGTACCTCAGCATCTCCATGATATCATCATCAAAAAAAAAAAAGTTATAAAAGATGAACCTGAGAAGGTTGGGATTTTTTTATGAAAAATGTGAGTAGATTTCCTTTTTTACACTTAAATTTTAAGAATATTGCTATGTTCATTGTTACAGTATTAGCACGCTACATGCAAATGGAAAATAATACCAATTTAAACAGAGTTTATTATTTATCATGACAAATTGTTAATTATAAAGCAAAGAAACCAGAAATTGCATAATCTGGCATTGTTTTATTAGAAATCCTTATTAGACTTCCATAGTTAACAAAAACAAAAGTAATCAGAACATACCATTCAATACAACTACATTTTCTAAACTGCCACAGAAAAATAAACAAGATTAAGCAACAGATTAGAGTCTAAAGAAAAAAATTTAAACATGCTGTTACATAACCATTTTAAAGGTATTAAAGAATTTAACTTGGACTGTTTTCTTACCTTTTATTCTAATTTATCTCTTGATATAGCTTGAAACTATTTTATATTTGATTAATTATACCATGCAAATTTCAGTGTTCTACCACATGCTATTTTTACTTTTTCAGACTTATTTTTATGAGTTTATTAAAAATAAGCATTATATAAAATTAATAAGTAAAAGACCTCACCCTTACTCCTGAAATAAAGGTTGGAGTAATAGCAATTTCTCATTGCCCGGGCTACTGAGTAGGTATAACTGTCACTAGAAGAGGACCCAGACCAAAGGAGGAAAGGCAGTTACCAGGAGTCAGAGCAGGCAGCAGGGTAAGAATCCAGGCAGAGAATCTGGGATGAAAGAAGGGAAAATCAGTATGAGAAACTTAGAGAGAAAAACCAGAAGTTGGGCCAGATTTAGAAGCAAACTTGGAGACATTGATTATTTATAGAATGGGTTACCTGGAACTTAGCCTCCTAAATAGGTAGAGTGAAGAATGAGGTAGCAATGGGGACTGAACCCAGGGGTGCTCTATCACCAACCTACATCCCCAGTCCTTTTTATTTTTTATTTTGAGACAAGGACTCAATAAGTTGCTGAGGCTGGCCTCAAACACAGTCCTCCTCCCTTGGCCTTCCAAGTCTCTGGGATCAACAGGCATGTACCACTTACCTCAGCTGGTTTTTACTCTTTTTTGAATGGTTTTTAAAAATCAAAACAATATTTATAATGTGAAAATTATATGAAACCTAAATCACAGTATCTGTAAGTAAGGTTGGTCCCACAGGGAAACACCCATACTCACTCAAGTATTGCCCATGGCTATGGTGACTAAGTCGTTGACATAATTGAGTAGTTGCAACAGAGGCTGTACAACCCACAAAGCACAAAATATTTACTATCTGGCCCTTTACAGGACATATTTTCCAGTTCCTGTCTCAGACTAGACTAGAAATTGGTTTCATTATAAGCATTCTTTAAATTTTCTAATGAAGTTATGTATATACTTTTTGTCCTGGGAAATGTTGAGACCTGGATGTTAAAATCAGGACTGTTTAGGTCCACTGTCTTTTCACCTGAGGAGTTTCACCTGTGAGAATCGTGGAAAACTACAGAAAGCATCTATCTGCCATCTCTCTCTCTCTCTCTCTCTCTCTCTCTCTCTCTCTCTCTCTCTCTCTCCTAATTATGTAATGATTTATTGTTACTAATTTTATGATTAAAGTATTAGCTACCAATTAAGAACACTGTCAGGTATTTTCATGTATTATCTTTATATCTCTCAAATAACCCTATAAGGTAGGTTCTAATATTTGAGAGAAGATTCAGAAAGGTTCAGTGACTTTCCCAGCGTCACAGGCTTGTCTGATTCTACAGTCCCAGCTTTATTCATTACACTGTACTGCCTCCCCAATCTGGAGTCCTGCCCCTTGCCCTTGAATCCTATTACTGTTCTACTCTTACTTTGACCTACTCTTACTTCCAGCTACTATTAAAAGCACATTAAGTATTTATTTCAGTACTATATACACTGAAATTGTAATCATACAGAAGAGACAAGCATGGTCCCTGCACAAGGATACCATGCAAACTCATGCACATTCCATTTTTTTTTCTGCTTATTTTGGCCAAGATAAGAATCACAGGAAGGATACATCAGAAATGAATAAAACTGATTACTTCTAAGAAGTGGGGGAAGCTAATTGAGTAGAAGGAGTAGGAGAAGAAATGGTACATCTTTGAATATATCTTTTAATATAGTTCTGATTTTTTGAATCATATAATATTTTTGTATTCAGAAAATAAAATTAGCTAAACAGGGATGAGGAAAAAACAAACAGAAGCAAATGGACTCAATAGTACTTCAATTGAAGAGCATAGTCACCTGAGGTAGGGGAAAGTAGGAAAAAACTATTCCAAGTAACTTGGGAATACAAAACTTCAACTCTATATAATTTATACACACATACACACACATAATCTAAAACAAAATGAGTGCATTCAGATCTTGAACTCTTCTCAATAGGTTTATTTTTCAGAGTATTATGGATATAGCAATACTGAAACTGGTTGGTATAAATTACAGGACTAAGTAAATGAGTATTTGTTTGAAAAAATTTCAAAGTAAATATTTTTATAGAAAAGCCAAGGAATAACCTTGACATGAGAATGAAGCATAATTATGAATTCATCATTTCTAATAAACATGTTTTTCTTTGTTTTGTTTTGTTTGTTTGTTTGCTTTTGGTACTAGGGATTCAACCCAGAGGCACTTAATCACTGAGTCACATCTCCCATCCCTTTTCTGTATTTTATTTAGAGACAGGGTCTCACTGAGTTGCTTAGGGATTCACTAAATTGCTGAGGCTGGCTTTGAACTTGCAATCCTCCTGCCTCTACCTTCTGAGTTGCTGGGGTTACAGGCATGTACCACCATGCCCAGCATAAACATGTTTTTCTAATGTTATCACTGAAAAGACCTAGAAATAATAAAACTCCAGTAGCAATGAAAGAGCACAACTCATAACAGAACTTGAATTTGAAATATCATTTTAAAAAATCAGAGTTCCTTAGAGAAATTGTTGAGTCTGGGCCTGGGAAAAGGAAGACATAAGATGAGCCTAGAACATCTTGTGCCAGAAAGTAAGGAATTGCTCTCTTAAATGATGGAAGCCACATTGAAAGAGCCAACAGGATTCCCACAGGCCAAATCTCAGGAAAATTGAGCATCAAAATCAATTATAGTGCTAGCTTACAACCCATTGAATAAAATAAGAAATAATGTACTCATGCTAATAAATAAATAAGTAAATAAGTAATGACAGCTTTTTAAAATAGAATGTTTTCTAAGAAATATATAAAGAATGATGGCATTGGGAAAACCTCATTTTGCAACCATCATAGGAAAAATTGATTCAAGCAAGATATATCAACAGATGCTAGATGTGTGGATTGTGAGTAAGGGAATAAGATATTTTCATAATCTCAAATTATCTCCCCACCATTATTTATTAATTACAAAGGAAAATACAATACCTTTGCAGTGAAAAGATGGGTGGACTCCACTTTAGACAAGTGACAAAAATTAACATCATAAATAACGAGACAAACCAACATCAAGCACCTTCTGACTGTGGTACACTGAGGACACAGCAGTATTTAATGTAATTCTCCTTCCCCAAATGCACAACCTGTCTCTAACATGAGGAAACATCAGTAAAACTCAAATTAAAGGATATCTCTCAAAAAGCTAAGGAACTATTCTAAATTTTTAAAGACTAGAAAGAAAAAACCCTGAAGGCTCAAGATAAAATAATAGTGACACCCAGTACTAGTTTTCTCCTCCCAGGGGTGGAAACAAAGCAACAGTTGTGTAACTGCTTTTGGGGTTAGTGGCTATGCATAAACATTGTAAATTGACAGCAAAGGAAACAAAACCTGGTGAAAGCCAGAGAGTAGGGATAATAACACAACAAGAGAATTCCCAGTGTCTGGAAGCTCAGCTGGGGAAAGGGGACTCTCCCTTCCAAGGGTGTAAAGGTGAAAGAGAAAAAGTTGCAATATGGCACAGAGGACAGCACCCTACGGACAAACAACTTAAATAAATAGGTGACAAGGACTATGCATTACAAGTTAGCTTTAGAGAAGAAATTCACCTCAGCAAACAGTGCTTTAGCTAGGAGCCCTTGAGATGGGTCCTACTGTCAGAGACCAAACTGCTCTGGGGGTCAGAAAATCTTGTATAATCACATCTCAGGGTTCCGGTGGACATTTGCTGCACTGACTAGATGGGCAGTGGCCACATGAGACAAGTGAGGCTTAAGGGAGTGTCTCCACCCAGCTGCAACTAGAAGGAGTGGAGGGCACAGCAGTTCAGCAATTCTGACCTCTACAACATGAACAAACCAATCGAGTGTGCTTCTGCATGACCAGGTCTGAAGGTGCCAGGATGAAGGCTAGCTGACTGCCAAGTCCTTGTATCATCCCTTTCAGTTCAGAACTCAGTGGTTCAATTGCTCCCCCTACCCTTGGAGAAATTCTGGGGATCCGCTACAGTTTTGCCATTCACCAGGCCACCCAGCACAAAGATTAAAACCCTCAGAAGCAAACATACACCTGGCACAGACCACATTCTGCCAAAATTCAGCTGAGGAGAAGGGCTTGTTGTGGTTCCAACAATCGCCACGCCCCCAGGCGCACAGACTAAAAGCCTTGTGAGAGAATATATATACCCCTTCAAGATCAACATTCTGCCTCAACCTATTCAGCAAGATACCCAGGGCACAACCTGGATACCACCCCAAACTCACTTGGCAAGAGCTGAGAGGAACTACAGCAAGCAGTAGTTGAACCACACTACTATCCCCATACCTGGTGAATTCCAACCTTAGAAGTCCTAGTAAGAAACATGTTTGAGTGCCTTGGAGGAATTTGTTGTTGTTGTTCTCTATTCTATCTTTTTTTCCTTACTTTTGTTTCATTTTTAATTTTTCCTTTTTTTTCTTTCTCATATTTTTCCCTTTTATTTTTAATATCATTTTCCCTATCCATTCTCTTTTTGTTTTTAGGTAGTTTTAATTATTTCTCTCTTTCTCTCTCTCTTTTATTTTTTCCAGTGATGAGAAATTGAACCCAGGGATTCAGATGCATCAGGGAAGTGCTGATGTCTCTGACAACATTCCCAGCTCAGATGAGAGGAATTAAGCCCAGCACCAACCATAACCCAGTCCTGCTAAGATCCTGGCAGACACTTCTGCTTAAAGAAAAGGGGGACATAAGCTCTCAACTGACCTTCCATACTAGGTGTGCACAGATAAGGAAGGCTGGGGACTGTATCCTGGACTGTATCCTGTGTTATTCCCACAGTCATATTAGAGAAGAAAAACACAATGTCATTACATCTATGTAGATCCTCTACATCATTCTTGGCCACACCTGGTCAGATCATGCAGGGCTATTACATCTGAAGATGAGTCCCACAGAGGAGAAGTTGTCATTCCAAGTTCAGTCTCCAATAAGAAGACAGGAGCTTCAGGCTCTTCAACAACACTGAAAAAATCAGCATCAAAATCACTTTCAAATAATAGTGCTACTGCCATCAACAGTACTTATGGAAAACCCCAACTCCAGATAGAGGCTACCACTCCCAAAATTGAAGTACCCAGAGGTCACATCCCACATACTCTGCTATCTATACCATATCTATCTGAAGTACAAGAATTCTCCACTCTTACAAGTCTTGCTGAGATAGTGTATCTTTTCAAATTCAATATAGTATGCTCTGTGCCCTAATCCACAAATCACAACCAAACAAGCTACAGGGAGATTACACTATGGAGTCAGATTAGAAATAAACATACTATATGACAAACCACTGCAGTCACACTGGCTTAAGAAAAATGCATACCATAAAAACAGAAGAGATACTGACCCCAACAGATGTGCATATTGAAAAACCAGCCTCTACCTCAGAGCAAAGCCTGTCCAAGGAAGGGACATAACCTTTGTCCTTGGAAAAACCCACAGAGCACTCCTAGGCACATTCCTACCCTGCTAAGTTGTTTATCTACAAATAACAGGAGAGATCTGCTGCGCCAGGTGTCCCTGACTCAGTCAGGCTAGGTGGAGATCCATAGCAACCCCCTAGCAGCCACCAATCAGCATGAGACAGGGAAATACCTGGGATGCCAGATGACCCTCCCAGTAGTTTATGGTAGTTGATAACCTGTTGGGAAACCATGTAGTTCAGCACATACACCCCTCTTGGCTTAAACCAATCAGTTCAAAGGAATACCCCTTTTGTACTGAACAATCACCCCTATCCAACTTGTTCCCGCCAGTGAATGTGCTAATCATGTTTTAGAGTTGTTATTTGATTTTCCCGCGGTGTGTGATGATTTGCTATGATGTATGTGAAGTCCCTGCCCTCTCCAAAGAATGTATAAAAATGCTGCAAACCCTGGGCTCGGGGTCTCTCAGCGTCACCAGTTGCTGTGTGTGCGTGCGGAGGACCGAGCTAGCTTGCAATAAACACCTCTTTGCTGCTTACATCTATCTTGGGTCTCTGGTAGTCTTCGGGGGTCCTGAATTCGAGCATAACATAATCTCAACATAGATGGACAAGAAATAAGAACAAACAAGGTAATCTGTCACTTCCTAATGTTCATAGTACTAAAGAAAAAAAAAGAATAGATGAATGAAGAGAGCATACAAGATCTCTGGGACAGCATTAAAAGATCAAGCATCCATGGATACAGAAAACATAGCCAGTGAAATAATAGCAGAAAATGTCCCATATCTTAGGAAAGACTTGGACATCCAAGTATAGGAGGCATTTAGAACTCCAAATAAACATAACCAGAAAAGAACATATCCACAATATATTATACTTAAATTTCCAAAACTACAGAAGAAATAAAGAATATTAAAAGCTGCGAAAGAGAAGCACCAAATCACGTTTCAAGACAAATCCATTAGACTAACAGAAGATTTCTTACCAGAAACTCTGAAGGCCAGGAGTACATGAAACAATACATTTCAAGTCTTTAAAGAAAATAATTGCCAACCAAAAATACTATACCCAGCAAGGTTAGCCTTCAGAATAAATAAGAAGAAAAAATACCTTCCATGAAAAGCATTAAGTAAGCATATAACATATAAATGATCATATAACTTTCAATAACTCTGAATGTGATTGGTCTTAATTCTCCAATAAAAAGACACAGACCATCTGATAGATTAAAAACCAAGACCCTGTCTGGGAGGGAGCAGGGGACACAAGACCCAATAATACACTGCTATTACAGTTTGAATCTACAATGTCTCTCCAAAGTTCATCTGTTTAAGATCTAGTCCCTACAATAGCCATGTCCAGGTGTGGGGCTTTAGGGAAATGATTGGATCACGAGGACAATACTCTCATTAGCAGATGAATCTGTTTGGTGGGTTAATAATTTAAAGGACTACTAGAAGGATATAAAAACTGTAAGCAGTTGGGATGTGATTGGAGGAAGCAGGTCATAGGAGTGTGTCCCGGAAGGGTTTATTTTCTATCCAATTCCTCCACCACCACCACCACTCCAAGAACTGAGCAGATTTTCTCTGCCATGCCCGTCCACCATGGTGTTCTGCCTCATCTCAGGCCCAAAGCAACAAAACTGTCCAACCCTGAACTGAAACCTTTGAAACCATAAGCCAAAATAAACATTTACTCCTCAAGTTGTTTATGCCAAGTATTTTGGTCACAGCAAAAAAAAGTTGACTAACACAGCTGCATATAAGAAACTTACCTAACCTGCAAAGTGAAAGTATAGAAAAGGATATTCCAAGCAAATGGAATGTGAAAGCAAGTAGGAATAGCTGTAGTTATATATGACAAAATAGACTTTCAGACAAAATCAGTTAAGAGACAAAAAAGGTCACTTCACTATCTACTGATCAAGGGAATAAGATATAAAAATTATAAATACATATGCACTAACATCAGAACATCCAATTTCATTAAAAAAAAATACCAGTAGACATCAAAAGTAAAATAGGTCCCAATAAATAACATGGGTAACTTCAATATACTACTATCACCAATAAATAGATCATTTAGACAAAAAAAAATCAACAAAGAAACATCAGATTTAAGTTATATGATAGATCAAATGGACTTAATAGACATCTATAGAATATTCCACCCAAGAGCTGCATAACACACATTCTTTTCATCAGCCCATAGAACCTTTCCCAAAACAGATTGTTTATTATTCTATAAAGCAAGTCTTAACAAATTCAAAAAAATGTAATAATTTCTTACATCTTATCTGATCACAGTGGAAGGAAACAAAATCAGCAGCAAGAGAAGCTGCAGAAATTATAGCTGAGCACCCAGTGTCTAAATAAAATTCAAAATAGGATTGGGGTTCATAACCCACTTGAATCAAATGTATGAAATATGATATGTCAAGAGCTTTGTAATGTTTTGAACAGCCAATTAAAAAAAAGAAACTTAAAAAAATAAAAATAAAATAGGATTGGGGATGTGGCTCAGTGGCCAAGTGCCCCTGAATTCAATCCCTGATACCCCCTCCCAAAAAAGGAGAGGCAGAAATAAAAGCACATGAAAATTGAACATAGTATTAAATAATGAGTCACTGAAGAAAGCCAGGAGCAGTGGCACATACCTATAACCTCAGGTACTCAGGAGACCGAGGCAGGAGGATCACAAATTTGAGCCCAGCCTTGACAACTTAGTGAGATCCTGTCTCAAAATAAAAAATAAAATGGCTTGAAATGTAGAGCTCTGTAGTAGAGCACACCTGGTTCCAACCCAGTACCACCACACACACAAAATCATATATATATATATATATATATATGATATTTTGAAAAGTTATGTTAACAAATTGGAAAATCTAGAAGAAATGGACAAATTTCTGGAAATGTAGGCCCTTCCAAAATTGAACCAAGAGGATATTTTAAAAAATAGAGCAATAACAAATAATGATATGAAGCAGTAATAAAAAGTATCCCAACAAAGGAAAGTCCAGAACAAGATGAATTCACTGCTAAATTTTATCAGACTTTTAAAAAAGAATAAACACTAATATTCCTCAAACTAGTCCATATAGATCCCTATATCCCTATCTCTCACCTTGCCCAAAATGGATCAAAGCCCTTACTATAAGATATGATGTTTTGAAACTACTAGAACAAAACACAGGAGAAACCCTTCAAAATATTGGCACAGATAATGATTTCCTGGTTAGGAACCCAACAGACCAAGAAACAGGCAAAATTTGACAAATGGGATTAAAGCAAATTTAAAAGTTTCCAAACAGCAAAGGAAAATCTAAAGAGACAAACTACAGGATAGGAGAAAAACTTTGGCAGCTATTCAGCTGACATAAGGTTACTATAACTCAAGTCAAACACAGCGGCACATGCCTGTTATTCCAGCAATTCAGGATGTTGAGGCAGAAGGATGGCAATTCAAGACCAGTCTCAGAAACTTAGCAAGGCCCTATGCAACCTAGTGAGACTCTATCTCAAAAAGAGGAGTGGGGACTGGGATGTGGCTCAGTTGTCAAGCATCCCTAGTTCAATCCCTGGTACACACACAAAAAAAAAAAAAAAAAAAAAATCAAAAAAACTTAACAACAACAATAAGAAAAAAATAATAATCCAACCAATAAATGGGCAAATGATCTGAAAACACACTTCACAAATGTAAGTACAAATGTCCAATAAATATATGAGAATGATCAATATCTTTAGCCATCAGGGAAACGCAAATCAAAACAACATTGAGATTTCATCTCATCCCAGTTAGAACAGCCACTATCAAAAAAGTAAGCCAGGTGCAGGGTTACACACCAACTACTCAGGAGGCTGAAGCAGAAGGATCACAGGTTACAGTCTAATCCTGGCAACTTAAGAGAAACTCTGCTTCAAAATAAAAATAAATAGGCCTGGTAATGTAGTTCAGTGGTAGAGCACTCCTGGGGTCAATTTCCAGTATGGGAAAAAAAATGTTGGTGAGGTTGTAGGAAAAAAGGCACCCTTATATACTGTTTGTAGGAATGTAAATTTGTACAGTCACTATGGAAAACAGTATGGAGGATCCTCAAGGAAGTAAAAATAGAACTACCATATCATCTAGCTATCCCACTCCTGGATATATAACCCAAGGAAATGAAGTCAGCATACAAAAGAAATAACTTCACACCATGTCTATTGTGGCACAATTCAAAATAGTAAGAGATGGAATTAGCCTAGATGCCCATCAATAGATGAATAGATTAAAAAAAATACACAGACACAATGGAGTAATATTCAGTCATAAAGAAAAATAAAATCCTGCCGTTTTCAGGAAAATGGGTGGAACATCATGATTAAATGAAATAAGCTATACACACAAAAAAAGACAAATATCATATTATCTCTCATATGTAGAAATGAAAAATAGATGACCTGAAAGTAGGACTATGAAAGTCCAGAAAGGGAGTTGGGGTAGGGTAGGAGAAGTGGGGAGGACATTATCAGAGTTTAACATATACATGTATGGAATGTCACAGTAATGCCCATTAATTTGTACAATTACTGTGTTAATAATTATAATAATTTTTAAAAGACTAAAAAGACATAACAAATGAAAATCATGACCCTGGATTAAACCTGTACTAGGGAAAATGGACACTATTAGGAAAACTGTTGAAGCTGAAATGTAAACTACAGCTTAGTTTTAAAGTATTATATAAATGTTATATATCCCAAGTACTACATATATATGTGTACATATATACACACACATATACATACTAACACACACACAAATGTATATAAGAGAAAATAAAGCAAATGTAGAAACTGGATATTTAGGTAAATGATATACAAGAGTTCTTTATATGTTTATGCTGTTTTTGTATGTTTGAAATGATCCCATTTTTAAAATTTTTATAAACTAAGTATACAATATGATATGAATCTCTCTTTTAAAGTGAACTCCATGTTTGCTGTTTGGATTGTGTTCCACTTTCTCCTTTGCTACCAGGTTCTTGGTCTCCACAGGGTTAATGACTAGTACTCTAAGGCAGGCACATGTTAGACAAGGCATTAAAAAAAAAAAAAAAGAAAGAAAGAAATGCGAGCTACAAACGTCAGAGGCTAACATTTAAAAAATCCACACATATTTGCAAAACTTCCAAGCCCTTCTCTGCTGACATTAGAAAGTCACTGCTGCATATGCCTCATGTCCTGAGCTTCCCTTGGATAATCCCACATGACTTTCCCAACTCACAGATTTTCCATTTGGTCACCCACTCAACCTTCAGCACAGTCATATCTTTTGCAGAGCTAAAAATAGCCATTCTATCAAGTGGGTAGTTGAAGCATCATTTAGTTAGGAAGATAACTTTCCTAAGACTATTTCTTTAATGATGACAATGCATCAGCAAATCAAGATTTGGACAAAATAAAGACATGCAACATGCTGTGCTGCATGCAGCCTACCACTAATTCTTAGCTCAGTGCACAGAAATTCCAGGCCCACTGTGAGGCTTCTTGGGATTCATATCCTGAATTTTTCCAGCTGTACAACTTTGGGCAAGTTACTTTAACCTTCCTGATCCTATTTTTACATCTGCAAGATAAGAGTTGCTAATATTACCTTCCTGTGGACAAATCTCACAGACATCATGTTGAACAAAAGAAGTCAGAAAAAATAGAGTGTATAAACTTCAAGAAGCAAATAGTGACAGAAGTCAAAAGAGGGCTACAACTCTCCCCAAAGGGGTGGAGAGGAGAGTATTTACTGAGAAGGAGCACAGAAAGGCTTCAGAGCAGTAGAAATACAATTTCCATTGATCTGTGTGATAGGTACACAAGTGTTATGATGTAAACATTCATTAAAGCTGTACATTAAAAATTTGTTACATCTCAGCCAGGTGCTGTGGCACATGCCTGTAATCCCAACTCAGGAGGCTGAGGCAGAAGGATTGCAAGTTCAAGGCCAGCCTCAGAAATTTAGCAAGGCCCTAAGCAATTTATCGAGATCCTGTCTCAAAATAAAAAATATAAAGGGCTGGGGATGTGACTCAGTGGTTAAGTGCCCCTGGGTTCAATCCTGTACTACACTTATGTGTAACTACTGGTACTATAACTACTGGTACCAAAAAAAACAAAAACAAAAAGAAAGAAAAAAGAAAAAAGTTCTTACACCTCAACATAAAAATAAATAAAAAAGAAAAAATATAACATCAACAAATAGAATTATTGTGATATGTAAATTAAAAAATGTATGCCAAGTGCCTATTACATGGTAAGCATTTGATATAAGTCAGCTGTTATTATTACAATTAATGGTAACTCCAAGCTAGGAGGATCATCTGATCCCAGAATTTCATAGCTAGACTGGGCAACATAGCAGGAAACCATTTCAAAAGAAAAAAAAAATGCTTCTGTATTGACCAAGTACAGATTTTTTGTACTTGTCATTCTTCCCCAAACAAAACAACAACTATTTACATAACATTTAAATTTTATAAGAATTATAAGTAATCTACAGATGATTGAAAGTATGTAGGAGAATGTCCATAAGTTATATGCAAATAACGTATGCAAGATGTAAGCATCTGAAGATTCAGCATCCCCAATCTCCCCACAGATGTCAGGTGACAACTGTCCTCATTACAACAGAACTATTTTAAAGAGGCATCTACCTTTTTACTACTCCTGAGTTCGTAAAAATTTTGTGCCATTTCAAACTTCTTTCTCTTGCCTTTGTCTCTCTATATTACTTTCTTTGTATTTAAACAGAGAAATTATACCGTTTGTGTAATTTTGAAGAGCAATTTTAAAGAAGTAAATAAGATAGCTGAAAATCTGTGCAGTTAAAAGTAACCCTCATCACTGGATGTCAGCATGGATGTCATCTGATTTTAGAGCTGCAAACCTGGAAAAACTTACATGGATAATGAATAGGCACCAGGAACAGTCTTTCTTTTTCAGTAAGTTCTATATTCTAGAGGAAGTTTAAACCAAAGGGAAGAAATTCAAAGGAAGGGTAAACAAAAAATTATGTCTTTGAACATTTTTTTTAAATGAAAGTAAAACTAACATTACCAATTCATGCATGCCTGCTGAGCTGCCTCTCACTCTGAAGATCATTTCTAACTGTCATTGACCTGGTAGATTTTTCTTAAATGTTAACTTCAATTAGGTCACAATGTTTTGGTTTGCTTTTTAACTTACCTTGATAAAAGCATAGCCAACACCATTATCTGTAATGGTGAGTCCAAGTGAATCCTCAGATTTATACACATTCACTTCTTTTTTTAGTCCTTTCACATGGGCAAATATAAAATCTTCAAGACCTAATTGCCCTCCTAGGAGTTTTTCCATGTCAATTTTAGGTGTGTTTAAAGTACAATATAAGATCTACAAAGAGAAAGAAATATATTAAGTTAGTTTCTATTAGAAAAATGTTCTGGTCATTAACTTATTTGATAAACATTGAGTGAAATAGTCCTAAATTTATGATGTCTAAGTCTACACATAAAACATGTTTGTATGCTGGCTGGACAAAATCTGAAACTCATTTTCATATAGAGACATTAGGTAACATGTACTGTTTCCCATAGGCCTGACAGTAGCTTTATAAAGTACCATGTTATTTCCATATCACAAACAGGAAATTGAGGCTTAGAAAGCTAGGTTGTCTAAAGTCACAAAGTCAGTACTTGTCAAAGCCAAGGATTCGAGGTGAGATTCTTCACCTTCAAAGTGTTTTCAACTATCAGATCTGCTATTTACAAGGTTGAAAAGACTATATTCCCAAAGATCTGCATAACGCATATTCTGCATGATACACACATGGCAATGAAAATACAGGCAAACCCACATGTGAAAACTGGTAAATATATTTTTTAAAAAGAAATTTTTTATTTATCTTGCATTACAATGCTTAAAAAAATTTTTTCATGGCTGGACATAGTGGTGTACCACCTGTAATCCCAGCAACTCGGGAGGCTGAGTCAGGAGGATTCCAAGTTCAAAACCAGTCTCAGAAACTCAGTGAGGCCATAAGCAACTTAGTAACACTCTGTTTCAAAATAAAAAAATAAAAAAAGCTGGAGATGAAACTGAGTGGCAACATGTCACTGGGTTCAACCCCCAGTACCAAAAAAAAAAAAAAAAAAACCATTAGTGAATGAGGTGTGAAAAGTAGAAATGTTTTAGGGCTAAATTAAAACTTAAAGACTGAAAAATCCAATCCCTTAACTTTAAAAAGGAGGACTGAGGTTTGGAGGAGTTAAAGAAATTTATCCAAATTCACAGGATAGTAAAAAGGTAACCAAAAAAGTAGCTTAACAGAACACTGCATGAACACTTTAACGAGACTCCTTATGTTTGGCAAATCTCTATAGGACTTCATTTTCCTTCAGAAATATGACTTATTTTACTAAAATATGCAGTGCCACTCTTAATTATGTTAACCATAATCTGGGTAATTTGGGAGTCCAAATACAAAATTATGGAAGAGAGGAAAGGCTGAGAATTTGTCACTGGTTTAATGTGTCACTGTTAGCAAAAGCTCAGTCCTCATCCCCATGCCAATCCAATAATGAAGACAAGGTTTTGAAAAAGAAAAAAGAAGTTGTATTGCTTTGGTAGCAAAGGAGAAAAGCGGGGGACTCCTGTCCCAGAGGCTGTGATTCTCCCCATCAGCGGGAACAGACTTGTTTTTAAAAGATGATTCAAAGGCTACATTTTCTGTCTAGAGTTGTAATTCACTTGTTCATTTAAAGACAGTCATTTCTTATATCTTCTGGTGCCATCCTCAAGTGTGAATTACTTTGTTCCTGTGATGGGTGTGTGCTCAAGGACAGATAACCCTTCCCTTGATGGAGAGAAATGATAATTCTGTTTCCCCTGAGATTAGGATGAGGGGGTGATTAGGAACAGGGAGGGTGAGAGGAAGAGAAAGAAACACATCTTAAAAATAAGAAGTGGCAGAGCAACAAGGACTATATTCAGATAATAAAGTGGCCCACTGTTATAAGACCACACCCAGATCAGCACCTTCATCCCAAAGCTCTCAACACCCCCTGTATCCCTGAGTTTTACACCATTCCTAGTTCTCACCAGAACCCTAAGCCTTAACACCTCCATAATCCTCATGAAGCTCAAAATCAGGGGGCAATTCCTATTTATCAAATGGCTTTTTAGGCCATGTCAAATGAGTCTGATTTAGCCAGGCGTGGTGGCATATGCCTGGCATTCCAGCAATTTAGGCAGCTGAGGCAAGAGGAGGATCCCAAGTTTGAGTCCAGCCTTGGCAATTTAGCAAGATCCTTTCTCAAAATAGAAATAAATAAATAAATAAATAAAAAGGATAGGGATATAGCTCAGTAGTAAAAGTGTGCTGGGTTCAATCCCCCATACCCAAAAAATAATAGTAATAATTGTGCCTAATTTAGAAGAGCTTCATAAAACAAAGCTTTCTCTACTACACAATTAAAAGTTTACAAGGTCAACAAAGGAATTAGGCAAGGAAAAGACCCCTGCACATACAACAGTGAATGCCTAAGGGAAAAACTAATGCCCCACCCTTTCCTCTTTACACCCTGGTCTTTCCGGAGCCTTTCATTTAACTCTCTGTGTTCCTAGAATGGGTAAAATACATTCAGCCTTGTGCCCAATAAGTTTTTACAAATATCCTCTACTGTAAAAACTGTAATATTCCCAGTGGGTAAAAAGTTAGGTAAGCCAAGAATGGCTTCTTTTTGTAATTGTAAAATCAATGACATAATCAGTCCATTGACAAAAACCAATTTAAGTGGTTGGAGGGGAAAGCGATTATTCACAGCTTTTCTGAACTCCTTTCTCAAAATCGTGGGAAGTGAGAAGAAATAACAAACAGTTCTCTCCTTGTGCTTTTTTTCAGTGAATCTGTCAATCATACTCAAAGCATATCTCAAACACCCCTAACATGAAAGCAACTTCACAGTTAAATAGGAAATAAAAGATTAAAACATAATGATATAAACAGGATAGGAGGAAACCCAAAAAAGGAAATCTCACACAAACTGACCTTCTAGTTACTAAGCCACTTCCTTTCTTTCAATTTATCACATGTCTCTCTGCAGAGCAAACATTGGATTTCCTGTAGATAGAACCCTTTGCCATTATGCTTCCTCCCCTGCAGAATAACACTCCTTTCCAAGCAGCCAGAAGTTGGCAGGCAGGCTTCTTCTTCTTCTTCTTTTTTTTTTTTTTTTTTTTAATAAAAGGAGTGGAGCCAGCTATATCCTTCACTGAACAGAGATCAAAGGGAAGTTGTATTGAAAACTCACAGAAACGTGATGGCCACTAGGAGGTGAAGTAAAAGCCCTCCTTTAGCAGCAGGTAACTAAAGCTCCAAGACTTCTGAGCAGCAGTTCATCACGTGAGAATAAGAATCTACCACTCACTCTATATATATGCACATCTTTCAGCAAAGATATCTCTAAGTATGTGACAAAGGTCTAGAAACTCAAACACAGGGCTGGGAATACACCTCAGCAGCAGAACACCTGCCTTGCATGCATGAGGCCTGGGTTCAATCTCTAGCACCAAAAAAAAAAAAAAAAACCTGGATTTGCCAGGCACAGTGGTGCACAATGGTCCCAGCAATTTGGGATTCTAAAGCAGGAGGATAACAAGTTCAAGGCCAGCCTCAGCAATTTTGCAAGTCCCCGTCTCAAAATAAAAAACTAAAGGATCCAAGGATGTAACTCAGTGGTAAAGCACCCTTGGATTTATTCCCCAGTACTAAAAAAAAAAAAGAAAGAAAGAAGAAAAGTAATTCAAAATATCATCATAGATACTATATTTTGAACTAAAAAATACAGTGCTACACCATCTTTTAAAGGCTTCACAGTTTTTAGTCATTCATCTACTCATTAAATACCCATTTAATACCTGGTTTTTGCCAAGTTCTGTGCTGGACACAGATGAATATCATAATCCCTATACAGGAGGAATTCCCAGGCTGGCAGATGGTCCACTGAGGTACAGTAAGGCAATAAAGAGCCAAATGTAATATAATAAAATCCATAAATATTTAAACCAAAAGGAACCTAAAATACATACCATGAATTTTCCTAAACTCTCATATAGTTACTGTATTCAAAATCTAAAATGCCTGCCTGAACAACCCACTCCACCCCTATGTGACTGCCCAGGTGGAGTCTAAACCTAATAATCACTCTTTCCATTTTGCTCATGTAATATAAAATCTAGCGCTTCCTTTGAGTGACTGAGTCACCTTGTCTGAAGTCCACTCAGTTTAACACACGTATTTGTCACTCTAACTCTGCTGAGAGAGGGGGATCTTAGTCATTCTTCTCTCTCCTACAATGTCTAACATAGCATATTCACTTACCTCATCTAACATGGCACACGTGCATGCTAGATTTTATTATCCTCATTTTGTGGATTAGAAAATTGTGACTTTATCCAATTAACACACAAGAGTCAATGTTTACTGTTGAAAAGAAGCATAAGGGCTGGGGGTATAGCTCAGTGGTAGAGCTCATACTTAGCATGCATGAGGCCCTGGGCTCAATCTCCAACACCAAAGATAGATAGATAGATAGATAGATAAGTAAAACTGAAGGAAACATGATAGAAAAGAAAAGAAACAGTGAGTTGGTAATGTTGTAAAAACATTCCTCTAGGAAATGTGTGCTTCCAAATTAAAAATATGTTAGATAAAAGGCAGTAAATGTAATACCTTTTATCTTTTACACTCTGGGAAATAAATTAAATTCAAAAAGATTAGGAAAGCAAATGCATGGCAAGGTATCATGCAATATAAAGAAAACGACTGATCCATTACATATAATAAATAACTTCTATGTTTTTCATGAAATTCTCAACACATTCTGGGGTATTTGTATTAGGTGCTTTACCATCATCATTGCCTATTTTCATAAGAAAAAATGGATTCTTTTTCATGATTTTTCATTTTTTAGAGTGGTATTTCCCAAAAGAAATAAAATGTTAGCCACATAATTTTACATTTTCTAATAACCACATTAAAAAAGTAAAGTCAGGTGTGGTGGCACACACCTGTCATCCCAGTGACTTGGAAGGCTGAGGCAAGAAGATCTCAAGTTCAAGGCCAGCCTCAGTAATTTAACAAGACCCTCAGTGACTTAGCAAGATACTGTCTTAAAATTTTTAAAATAGTAATAAAAAGAATTTTTAAAAATAAAGAAAAAGAGCTGGGGTTATGGCTCAGTGGTGAAACACTTGCCTTGCACATGTGGGGCACTGGGTCCAATTCTCAGCACCACATATAAATAAATAAAATAAAGGTCCATAAAAATTTTTTTAAATAAAGAACAACAAAGTAAACAGAAATATGTGAAATTAATTTAATTTATAGTTTA